ATTGTTAGATGCTAGTTTAATGATGCTATGGCATGGCATGGCATACGTAAAAATTGATGTAAGCCAAGATTTAAAAAAAGAGCTTTAAAAGTATTACGTATAGGCTAACATTTTGTCACACCAGGGGCGTAGCCATCATTTCAGAAGTGACAGAAATGTCAAATATAATAATTTTATGTATGTATGAATTATTATAATTATTATTATTTATTTTACAAGGAATTCTTTTCTTAGCTATTACTTTGAATTTGCTATAAGAAATCAAATACACTGCTGGACAATAATCAATAATTTGTAATCTATAATTTTGTCCTAATGGCAATTTTATTATTGTTTTATATACTACAAACAATTATTTCCATTTTTTTGCACAGAATAAGGTAAAAAATATATACTTTATAGTTTCTGTAGGCTACTGTAATAAATTATATGTCAATTAGCACTGCATCATTCATAAACTGTATTTATTTATTGTGTTTTTGTCTTAACGTTTCATCAGTTCATTCTGCTTTTTATTCAGCTTAGCTGCAGCATCATTCATAAATTTTATTTATTTATAGTGTTTATTATCTTAACGTTTCACCAGTTCATTCTGCTTTTTATTCAGCTTAGCTGCAGATATAGCCTGGCACGTCTTAAGTTCTATGAGCACGAGATCAATTCTCTTTCAGTGCAAAAACTTCTTTATCTAATTTTCATAAAATAAAATGCTATGGTATTTAACTTTTCCTCTCCATTGGAAAATGATGATTATGAAAGAAAATGCGCCCGATTTCTGTTTGCTAAAGCAACGAACGCTACTTTCATGCATCTGATTATCAGATAAACCTCGCGCTCTTATTTCAAGGTTGTTGTTAATGCTGTGGTTATTTTAACAGTTTCCTTCGTATATTCGGTTCAACAACATTGTTAAAACATATTTATCATTCAATGGAACTGTGCGTATGCTTTAGACACTTTCTTTTCTTCATTTCTGCTCCCTCCGTGCAATAAATACGCAGCCTTCGACTGCTCAGGTAATGGCGTCGGTAAGATCGACAGCCATTGAGCCATTGAAAAACTACAGAAAAGTAAAACTACTTTACTTTAGCATTACTGGCCACGAGTACTAAGGAGAGATCACACATCAGCTGCTCAAAAAATGTGTCAGTGAGACGAACGGAGCGCGAGCGCAATCCTGTGACAGTCACAGGCGGTTAGTGGAGCGCGTGAAGGAGAGATGCGCGGGCACGAACACTGTTCAAGGTTTCCATTAATTCGTGCTTGTAGTAATTTAATGTGTATATATTTTGATATATACACGATTCTTAGCGTTTTAAATCGATTACTGTCCGAAATCGGCGATTCAAAAATCATGTTTCAAGATCGATGCATCTGCATCGTCAGGGTTTGTAATCGATGCATCGATAAAACGAGTGAATCGTTACACCTCTAATATACCCTGACGATGCATATGCATCGATCTTGAAACATGGATATTTGAATCGTCGATTTCGGACTGTAATCGATATAAAATGCTAAGAATCGAATGACTCGCGATTTCTATAGCGATTCAATGCTTTCAAAATATATACAC